TATCCTGAACTAGGAGTGCTTTGTGTATGTTTCAAACAGAACGAAAAATAGATATTGTTGAAAATTTTGTCCTCTTTAATTTTTTCAAAATGTCGTTTGGACCCCAATCACTATACAGTCCATGACAAAAAAAACCATAACACAACATATCAATATATAGTAGTCGTTGTATTCAGGATATCCAAATTGATATGTTAAATTCCAACAAAATGACCAACAAAAAATGTAGGTATAACCCAGAAAACTTCTACATACATTCAAACTCTGCACTAATTTACTCCTGTAAAGCTATTTTCCGGGTTTACCTGATCTTGTTTGTATACAATTGAGGACAGGTAGTCAGATTTTATTATTGTTCATTGCCTCTTCCTTTCTATGGAAATTATCCCTGTTTTATGAACTACCTGAGATACAACAAAAAAAATCTTATATTACAATATACCTCTCTTGTCGAATCTACAATAAAATATTGTATTCCTGCTTGGGGTGCAACATTCAAAAATGCTATCAGCCTGTTACAAACTGCTCAAAGTATTCTAATTAAAATTATCTATAAAAAAATAGACTCTTTTCAAGAAACCAACATGTTAAATATTCTAAAGTCAAGCCAGTCTCGAATATACCTACACAGTAGGTTGAATGGACTGACGCCTAACAGAGAACAACTACTCCCCTGACTGATACCACGTAGGGCGTTGGATTATATCCGACAGGCGTCAGTGCAGGAATCTTGACAGAAAATTTCCTGCATATGCAATTGGCAATACAACTTGAAAAGTCGACCCTCAATNGTGTCATTTAAAATAGAACAAATTTTGCGAACAATCGTTTTTAATGTGTCGAACAAATGCATGAGTCAATTAAATTCAAACAAATAAATTGTTAGTTGAATAAATTGAGGAATGAATATTTGTGACAATAAAAAGTAAAACGGCGTTCCATAGTTTTCAAGAAAATTAAAAATGATAAATTGAACAGTCAAAACAGAAAAAAAATTGAAATTCTACGCAATGAATGAGGAAATAGTGGATATATCAATGATGGTATGAATTTCAAAACTGAGAATTATCTAGTAAATATATTTTGAAAAAGCAGACAAGTTTGCAAAAGTGAAGATTGAGGATAATATAGAGTTACCATATTTTACATACAAGACTCTGCAGGCAAGATAATGTTTTCGTGAATACCCGAAGCATTTAGTTCATGCAACAACAAATCGTGATTTACTTAGTCCAAAAATCTGTGTAAATGGAATCAACCTGGTGTCTATTTTCAAAGGCATTTATTATAAAGTGTTGATAAATGAGCAGATTTGTACTGGTAGATCTACCACCACTGAATCCATGTTGCTGTTTTATAATTATATATCTACAATCTCATGTTATTAGATGATATAACAATTTGAATAATTCAGATTGATTGGAAACTGGTCGATAATTTTTAATGTCATTATGTGATCTACTTTTATAAATAAGTTTCAGGAAACTGTTTTTCCAATAATATAAAAAGATGGAAGATTTCATAGAAATTTCTTCAACACCAACGCTAATAACTACAAATATCAACTGTCTTACTGAATATTCTGCGATATCACTTCAACTTTTTCATCAAAAAGTAATAAGAATGATTACTTTTCATTTCAATTTTGCACTACTTTGAAATCTTGCCAGATACGAAAGGTAAGAGGGGGGGACTATTTATGAGTATATGGCCATTATGTGTATATACATTACCTCAATATCAACAGTATGCCAATCGGTCATTGGCATAACGTCCAAGCCAGCACCTGGCGTTTGGGGATTGTATGGCATGTTGGGACTGTATCCTGAACTAGGAGTGCTGTACGGATTATTACTAGACGGAGACTGACCGTACCCAGTAGCAGGACTCGGAGTAGAGACAACGCTCTGGTAACCAGGGCTAGCCTGATAAGGACTGTAGTTGCTGTCGTACATCGTTCCTGGGGTTTGGGGTGTGTAAGGACCATTCATTTGGTATCCAGGAGTACCTTAAAAGATAATAAACGAAATTAAATTCAAGTGTTTTTCAATTCTATCTGAAGGAGATCTTGAGTTGTTTGAGTGTGTAGAGCAGAAGTAGCATCTGATCATGGTCTGGTCGACGCAGAGACGATATAATTGCACGTTTTACCTACAACTGCGGAAGGTTCATCTACAGCTATGATATAGTAGTCTCGATCAAAGGCATAAGACAAGTCCATCGACTGGATAAAAATATCTATAGGTGTCTACTGTTATTAGTAGCTGTACCAGTGATAGAAATCAGGATTTATTTAGTTCCAACGATCTAACTGAAATTATTCTTGCACTCATAGGGCCAGAGTCGACACTTTCAGAATTGAAGACAGACAGACTCGCAAAAAATGTTTGAAATGAGACGTTTAAATCTGCATCAAAGGAGGCTCGTGTATTCATTGTTTTTGAGTTTTTTTTCACTAACACATCATTATTGGGCCGTGTATAATGTACATGGCCGGAAAATTTCTTCTGAATGAAACTTAAAATGATTTTTCTTATGTATGTTACAACCAACGGATAATTTTCCTGCTCAAAAAATGCAACCTTCATCGTGCGAGTGATAACGTACAATCATAACAAACTAGCGAGTCGCCCCGGCTCCGGATGAGTGCAATGCTGATACTAAATATACTACAGAATATCATTATATACAACGTTCACAGCTTTTTGTCAGTAGACAAAACAAACATGTTTTCTTTAGAGCTTATTCTTGAAAGAGCGACATACAGTTGGCCCGGTACCGCCGCAACCGTCCTGCATTTTAAATCTGTAATAACTTTGAAAATATTAATTCAAATTACATGCTGTGAGGTACCATATTGATCACATTATGGACAAAGAAGATGAAGGATATATTGAAGATAACTTTATAAACGTAAACTAGCGACCCGCCCCGGCTCCGCACCAGTGCAATGCTGATACTAAATATACTATAGAATGTCTTTATGTACAACGTTCGCAGCTTTTTGTCAGTAGACAAAACAAACATGTTTTCTTTAGAGCTTATTCTTGAAAGAGCGACATATAGTTGGCCCGGTACCGCCGCAACCGTCCCTGCATTTTAAATCTGTAATAACTTTGAAAATATTCATTCTAATTACATGCTGTGAGGGACCATATTGATCACATTATGGACAAAGAAGATGAAGGATATATTGAAGATAACTTTATAAACGTGCCTTTGGAATATTTGAAAATCCTTTCTTATCGCACATCTACAATGTAGAACCTCTAGAGAGGAACAGTGATGATAAGAATAAAACTGGTTGCTTAATGGGTGTTTAACGAAAAGTAAAAGAGAACACAAGTTAGTTTTAAGTATTAAGTTAAATTTCTATCCCCAATTTTGGGACCTGTGTACTTGAATTTATGTTCAAAATAAATATAAGATTTCATCACCTTGATTTTTCGCTGGGACCCTTTATTCATTAGTTATTCAAGATAAAAACAAACAATTACAGCAAGCGTGTTGGTTGTGTGAAAGCTTGAAATCAGTCCAGTCCTGAGCGGGCTGAACTGCTTGCAGGAACGATTATATTGCCACAGTAGTGGCTAAAACATTCAATTATACCACCTCACAGAAGCAACGGAACCATAGCCTTGAAGCTCTTCCCCTTTACATGACTTGGAATACTCACTTGGGTTATAACCAGGTGAAGGATAAGTATTTGACACAGCTGGATCCCATTCAGAGCTGGCATTGGGAGTCCTAGACCCGTCGTGAACGGGCGTCATTGAACCATAATGGAGAGGCGTACGAGAGCCAGATTCACACATGGGGGTCTTATTGCCAGTATCCCTGTATAAAGGCGTCTGGTTGCCAAGATAAGCTGGAGTTCTACCATAGCTGGATGCGCTGCCATCTTTGGCAGGTGTTCCTATGAAAGAATTAAATATTAGTACAGGTATTGTGAACCACGGTTGTTTCGAATGCTTACCCACGTCTGTAATGTGATTCCGATCGACAGAAATCGTTTGACATGAAGTGTGGAGTTCAATCCTAGCTGTAGCCTGAGTTGCGTCTTTGACGATACCGATGTTACCCTTGTAAGGACCCCGAGTAATTTTAATGGTGTTACCAATTATGTCTCTGTCCCTCGATACCCTTCCTCTACCGCCTCCTCCTCCACCTCCTCCACGACCACCTCCAAATCCTCCGACAGCTGAAAAATAAAAAATATAATAATTATCCAACTCAAATCGAATGCTTTCTTATTACAAAATTATTCATTAATTTCTAATGAGAGAGAGAGAGAGAGAGAGAGAATATGCTTTATTGTATACATGATAAATCATGGTTACAAAGCTCAAAATATGTTATAAATAAACATATCTTACCTGCTCCACTGGATGGATGCATCGGCGAACTTCTTCTCGGGGACATGAATTCCATCCCAACGGACATATCACCAGTGGGTACACTCTTATTGCCTCCGGCTAACTGCAAATGTTTGGTTTTGCAAACGAATATACCCCCGTTTTGTAAAAACTCTACAGAGTGTAAGAAAGCGAAATTCCTGTAAGAAAAAAACATGTTTTACACACTAACAAAAAGATAACGTCTCTTTTCTATTACCTATAGAGATGTTTTATTTCTCCAGAAAACCCTGAATGTGGTCCGTCGATTACTTTCACCATATCTCTACGATGAAGAGTATTACGATACGAATCTAAAGCAGCTGTGAATTTGTTTAGTCTCCTCTTTTGTAAGGAACCTGGTCTACACTCTACTACTTTACCTAAAAAAATAGATGAAATAAACTTTCTGTTTTTTAACACGATTTCTCCAAAACAGAAATGTTTCTCGATTTAAAACACTCATTAAGACTTCATTCTCATTTGGAGCTCACCCTAATTAGATCCTGAGGTGAATCGGAAAATGGAAAACTGAGTTCTCAGAGACAGATTGTCAATTTAGGAAATATCTCCTAGAAAGTTATTAAATCTTATATATTATTTCTCTCAACTAGATAAATAATCTCCAAAATGGATATAAATGTCTTCCTGACTCATATCTAAATTAGCCAGGGCAAAATATCAAAGAAATAATAATTAGACAATTACATCATGAATGAAAAAATACTGAAATTGTATTTACCGTGCATATTTAAAACATGGAAATTTTCTCTTTCCAATCGAACAATCACCCCCACAGTCTCTGCATCCAAATTAACCAGATCACCCCATTCAAATTTTCCTAACGAGTCCACTCCACTGGCCATATCCGTGCATAGTTGTAAATCTTTTGGTAAAACTTCCATTTCATGCATTGTCATATCGGAAATGAGAACAACCCTGTTGTTTTCCACTCTAACAACTAAACCTGTATCTCCCTCATATCGTCCTGGAATTTCAATCAATATTTAAATACACTCTCATAAGGGGTATCGTAAATATTACCTGCCAAAACTTTGACGTGGTCTCCCATTTTGAAGTACTTTTTCAATTCGTTTGCTTGAAACACTAACGGGTCTTTGAGGTCTTCATGTTTTGGCATCACAGTTATCATAACGCCATCTATACTGATGATTTTACCCTACAAAAGGTTAACTATTACTTTCCGAAACATAAACCGAACAAAGAAAGATAAATAAATCTAAAATCAAATCTCCAAAAACCTCACAAAACATAATAATAATAAATTTATTAATCCCAAGAAACAATACAAGTTTATGGGGACAAAGTAACAATGAAAAAAAGAACATACTGGAAATAATACAACAAATAAAATACCCACAATCGACGTTTCAATTGTGGGTATTTTTTATTTCATAAAATACAAATACAGGTACAAATTTTATTCTGGGTCGACTGGTAAGTGACAACTTCTAATCCAGATATAAGCCTAAAATGTTTACTTATTCCTCAATTTCTATCAAATTATTATTGAAATTGAAAAGAGAAACATTTTGTAAATTGAATTTGTACTGGATATATAGCAAGATTTACCGAAAATCAAATGTTAGTCATGAGATCTCAACCAGAGATATATCAATTTTAAACCTTCCAAAATTTTGCAATAAGATTGGTTTTTCAAGGACCACATGATCTTAGTTCTCCAATAGAAATGATATAAATTTGAAATAGGGTCGGGCTTAAAACAGAACCTTGTGGAACTCTACACTTGATGGTTTTTCAATGAACTCTTTTTTTCCTTTATATATGTATACTGCTTTCTGATGCTAAGATAATTTTGAAATCATACTATAATTGGAGGCATATACAGTGCTTTCCAGATAAAAGTATCCACCTTTAATAACTTTTGTATTACTGGTATTTAGGAAAAATCCAAAAACACGTCAATTTATGTTGAAAGGGGCAAGCATTATGGCTTATTTAAACTTACTGGAAAAGCCACCCCCTCACCCCTAGCATCATCCCTTTTTTTTAAATTACTTCTCATATTTTTTATGTAAAATTTGGATACTCCTCTTTGAGTTGATTTCAAAAATGTATAATACTTGTAGGTTAAAGTGGTTAGTTTATGAGATAAACAATTTTTCTTTTAATAGCACAAATTTTACTTATTTTTTACTTTCACCTTATTTGCCTGTACTAAAATGGGTTGTACAACAGTTCAAACTCTTTAATCTGTTTAACTGTGCTATTTATTCTACTTCAAAAATCCAAACAACAAAAAACTCTACTTTTTATTAAAGTTTGACATTGTCAACTAGAATTTGTAGTCACTATTGATAGTGTACTTTGATACATTATTTATTTTGTTTCGCTGAACCTACAAGTATTATACATTTTTGAAATCAGCTCAAAGAGGAGTATCCAAATTTTACATAAAGTATATGAGAAGTAATTTAAAAAAAAAGGGATGATGCTAGGGGCGAGGGGGTGGCTTTTCCAGTAAGTTTAAATAAGCCATTATGCTTGCCCCTTCCAACATAAATTGACGTGTTTTTGGATTTTTCCTAAATACCAGTATTACAGAAGTTATTAAAGGTGGATACTTTTATCTGAAAAGCACTGTATAAATTACCATATTTGAAATCAATATTAAACTTATTCAAGATTGTAGGAGGATTCACAACATTGTGAAAGAGTTGACTTGTGAATCAATACCAAGGTTGCTTCACTGATTAAAAAACGACGCTCAAATAATGAAACATCAGAATATTTGTACGAAAAAAAATAGCTTACCTGCAAATTTATCAATTCACCTTCACAAACTTCTACGTTATCACCAGCACTAAACGAATGTAAAACCGTATTTTCCTCTTTTTCAGCTGGCAACTCCAAATCGATTCCTTCAGGTTGTTCTTCAAATCTTTCCAATTCAGCCAGAGTCGGTTTGACACCCTCAATTATGACAGCACTCAACGTGAAATTCTTGTAGAGGAATCCTTTTCTCGAGTAACGATTTCCCTCAAAAATCAGAAAGTCACCATCCGAAGTAACCTCCCCACCTATTGATCTTATAGCTTCAGGATCAAAGGGTTTGCTGGCTGGACGACGTTTCCTCTTACGTTTTTCTGCTTCTGAATCCTATAAATACTCACGGTTGGAAAAATCTGATAATCACATAATAATTTCAATATAAACCAATAATTTAGGGGTCTACTTAATGAGGGCAAGGCTGATAGATGGCGCTGGAGGGCGAGAGGACAGTTTTACATTTGAAAAGCTATTCAAGTGCTTGAGAGATGGTTGTTTGTATTTGGCATGTTTGAGGAATTTCAGGTTCGATTTGTAAGGTTTTTGAATATGAATTAGGTGTTAGGACAAAAAATGAACATTGAGAATGGAATTATAGCTCATCAGAACATTTAGGTCGTGGTATTTTTTCAATCTTTCATTTACATATTTTTCATTTTAAGTTCTCATAGATTTCAAAAATGGTAACACCTATAACATTTACAACCATTTCTGTTGAAGACACATAAGAAATCAGCTCTAACTAGGATCCAGTAATTGTCAATTTACTGCTTCATACCTTCAGCCCTAGTATTGCTGTGTCAAACCTACCTTCTACGGAATATTTCTCAACCCCTCGTCACATAATTTGAATAAATTCTGTTTATTCCAATATAAATAACGAAAGTACCACGAGAACTGACTTCACGTCCCTCAGCGCCATCTTGTGGCGGAAACTTTCGTGGTTGCCCTCATTAGAAGAAATTTCAGCTACCAAGTGCAGCATCTATCTTACCGATTGAGCAGTCCGGAGCGCTCCCCTCAAACGACTATAATCGATTCTAGGCAATAATTTCAAATGGACCTGGTTTTGTGCCATGTCAAAATAATCAACCTGAGCAATGTCGTCTTTGTAAAGGCCTCTCTTAAGTCGCACCCACTGTTTCGATTTCAAGCCTATAATAATAAATCACAGTAATTTATTGGAAAACTTCAATAACTCAAAACATACCAGTTTGTTTCTTAACAACTCTCAAAACATCAGTCATTTCTTTGATGGGAACCATTTCTTGTTTCCATATTCCCCCCCTCAGGTTACTAACACCCTCAATGGCAGCTTTAACATGGGGTTGTTTGTAAGCTTCGATGTAAATGTAACCTCTAACCCCTTCAGGTGCCACCACCGATTTTATTTGTAGAGGCTCATTAAGATTTTCGTATGCCAAAAATTTCCTCATCAGTAAAAGACAGGTTGCCTTCTCTTCACCCATTCGACATTTCACTATCCATAAATTTGGATCTCTAATTGATTAAAAACAACATTACAAAAAAAGTCATATTTTCATAGATTATACATACTTGACTCCTGGCAGAAGAGTCTGCTGAGTAATCTCGTCAGACATTTCTTCTCCCCCATCACCGAAGTGCTTAATGGCTGCACTGTCATCAGCATACTTCCTCTTTAGATACTCCTCAATTTCGGATTCTTTCTGGGCACTGTGGATATAATAGAAATAAATAAAGGGTTATATTATTTTTTTGAAAAAACTCACTCCCAAAGATTTGTTCCTCTCCTTCTACCTTCAATTTCTCTTGCAGTAGGACCAAATTCATCAACCTCGTTTGGAACAATACCAATTTCTTGAGCCCCTTCTTCCCATTCATCCTCATCTTCCACTTCATCGTCTACTTCAGCTTCATCTATAATAAAGCCTCCGTAGCGGTCTTTATTCTTCTTTCGTTTTTTAGCTCTGCTCCCTTCATCGCTGTCATCTTCCTCGCTATCATACTCATCCAGACTTTCGCCATCTTCAGGCTCTTCTTCCTCAACTACATCTTCAGGTCCTGATGCTTCTCTTGCTTCAGATTGTCTATAGTATAAATGTAGATATATAAAAGTTAAAAAAAATTTATAAATGTGAATATAAAAAAAATTCTAAAAAGGTATAGATCAGTTCTGTGATAACTGATAAAAAATTGTCGGGCCATATTGTCTACTCACTGATGGCCATTATACACTATTTCTTACCCCGATCTAACAGAACGACTTTTAGACCGCGACCGAGATCTCGATCGTGACCTGGACCTAGATCGAGAGGGTGAACGAGATCTTGATACTTGAGATCCTTTCGATGGAGACCTGGACCTACTCTTAGAAGGCGATCTCGACCGAGACCTAGACGGTGTTCGAGATCTACTTCGTGCACTACCTCTAGAGCTTCTGGATCGTACAGATCCAGCTTCTGAAGCGTTCTCCTGGTCCGAAAAGTTACTACCTTCGGAATCTGACATGTTTTTCTCAGCACAATCAACTGTTCACTTAAACCGAGTTGATAGTTTTTATACAGTATTGAATAAGTGAATACAATACATAAATACATACAGTAAAGTAATAAAAAACACAAATTGAAATTCAAAAGTATTCAATACTAGTACAACATGAAACTAATACAAAGTCACTAATGATAATGAACTGGCAACTGACAACTGACAGCACAGTATTTTTGTGACTGACAGGTACGAGCAGTATTGCCAACTGGATGAACTATAAAGTCACTATACATAAACCAAAATTCCCCTACACTGCTTCATATTCTGCTACGCTTGTATTGTATACAGGCGTTTTCAGGCGCTCATGTATTCAAAACGTGTTTGTCTATGATTCAAATACATTTATTCTGAAACGTATTCATAATGATTCAAAAGTAACGTGAGGTTGGTTTTGAAACGGAATTTGACGTTATGTTACGTCAGTTGTTAGTCTCTGCTTTATTTTGATCGTTATAGTTTATAAAGTGCTGACAATTTGTGAGCAAATATATTCTAAGGATATACAAAATAAAACTTGAAAATTATTAGTTACACAACTCCGATTCTAATGGAGGTTAGAGAACATTGAAAAGTTTGTTTTTATTATTGAATTTGACATGTGACACAAATTGAATCATTCCATTTTTGCGAATATTATCATTAATAACGTCACAACGAATCGTTTTTTAATACCCGATTGAATACTATTAAATGCCAGAAAAAAACACCTTATCTGACGCAATCAGTTCTCGCTTGCGCCCTATCCAGAACTAAATACCACAGAACTTACTGTAGTTTGTAAGTTTGTGTAAGACCAACTCAGAATTTGGTACCTAATTTTCTAAATTTACAGCAGTTAATTTTTGTAAGCTGTCATCTCGACCAAATATTTCCTAGCTTGAAATAGTGATTTTGACGCGACAAGTCTAATCCACCCTTTCAAGTTGGAATCAGAAACCAATGTTGAGAAAAAATTTGTTTTCGGGGCATCTTGTATTTTTTGAACATGTCTCGTTCTCGTCAATTTTAACTTCGGTAGCTCGAGCTACAATCAGATGAACTATCTTCCATTTCCACTGTAATTTGTTCCATATAATTTATAATACTCGAGACAGTCGACATTCTTAAGTATATAAGTATAATGTGTCCTAACATTGATCTTAGATGTCTCGGAGCCAGTGAAATGTATACTACATGTACGGATAGAGTTCTATGCTCTGAGCTAACCGATCACATTTTTTCTCGTAAATACCCAACACTGACCAAATGTAACTGAGGCGACAGAGCTGGATTATCGAACGCTTGCAGTGAAGCGACGTAATCTTGCACTCAAATTTATTTTAAAGGATAACACCTAATTGTCAAATTGTGTACGATTAATGTAATAATCAAAGAGTACACTGTACTCTGGTAGTAATCACAATCACTCAAATCAAAACTCACAACAACCAAAGTGTGACGTTACCACACAAACTAGTTTCATTTTTTGCTTTTCCTCTTTAATCTTAACCTGTCATATTCATGTTGAATAAGTTAATTTGGATTTATAATTATTGTAAAGTTGTAGATTTAACATTTTAAAAATTAGGTGATGTAGATATACCTGAAGGAAGTCCATGGTCCGAAGCAAAAGTCCAAAATGTACAAAAAATGTCCTTGAATCAAACTAATTATTATTTATCATTTTATAGAAATAAAAATGTTGAGAAAAAAAACTGAAGTACTTCTCCATTGTGGGTTTGTTTGATGAGGCGAGAGCTTGAAATATAACCAAAAAACAAAAATGCCAGCTGTGAACAATTTAAATGCATTTTTGGGTGCTGCAGTACTGGGAGTTATAGGAGCAGCAGGCATGTTTCTCGTTGAACAGTATAGACAAAACAGGGTTCGTCATGCAATGGCACAAGATTTAGCACGATTAGATCAAGAGTTGAGTCAAGTGCGAAGAGAATTAAATCAATTACTGAGTAAAAAGCAAGGATAGTAATAGGTTTGTAAATTGCATTATTTTTGAGGTTTTGTTTTTTTAGGACACGTAAAACCAAAGGAAGAAATAGTTCAAATAGAGCAAATTCTGTTGCATCAGGTACCACAATAGATGATAGTAATGTGGAAAGTTCTGATATGGAATACTTTGATGTCAGTGATGATGAACCAGACTTGGGTTTGATGGATTTGGAACAAGTATGATTTGCAGAATTATTTTGGGTTTGACTGGTATCACACTCTATCATTTTGCAGGCCTTGAATATCATTGATGTAAAACTAGATAGTGGATCATTACATGACCTACAGGATTCCCTTATTGAACTTGGTGATTTGGGTATTGAATATCCTGGAAATCCAGAATTATTATGGAGACTTGGAAAAGCTCATCAAAAAATATCTGAAAAAAGTAATGTTCCTAGTATCATCGAAGAACACATTTCAAAAGGTATTTTTTCAAATCCATTAACACAATATTTGATGTCTGATGAAAATATTTTTTCCACATACCAGATCTGCTTGTGATGCCGACTGAAGTAACATGGTCATTTTTTATATATCAATGTTAACTGTGCTATAGTTATACATGATATCAAGTAAGTTTAGTAAGAGATGGGAATTGTGAATTGTTCAGCAAGAAAATTTCAGTTTTCATTTTACCCCTACCTATTTTTCCTACTGCCACTGTCAATGTCATGCAGTTTATATAGTTACTTGGATAACAAGAAAAGATTGAAGCCCTGACTTCAAGGATGTATTTATTTCAAGATTCCCAACTTCCTGCCAATTTTTTTTTTTCAGTTTTCTAGTCTCATTAAGCCTCAATGCTGTGGAAGTAAATTTTAAGATGTATAAGGCTCAATTGAAAAGTAAACTTTCTGTAACGTGTTAGGAATCACACGTTAAAAGGTAAGATCTTGTTAAACCTTATCTCGCATAAGTTTCGTCTTCTGAGGGTTGTCGTTCGTAGGGGTGCGACAGCTGGTTAACGGGAAAAACAGATTTTTAAACAGAGAATTGTTATGAAATTCAATAGGCTGCAGTAATTATGAACTGGTTATTTGTTCATTTGCACTTGAACAAACTTCTCGAATACGTATGAAGAGATTACTCAAGCAAATGAAGACCATCTATGCCCCGAAGGCAATGTTTTAGTCTATGTTTTTATCTTTTATCTGTTTATCTTTTATCAGCAAATTACAACTTTGTTATCTGGAATTCTCAGAAATGTTCAACATTGAGATGAAAAATTTATTTTTAAAATCTGGGTTGTGGAAAAAGTGATTTTCAAAAAATATTTTCTAGGTCGTCAGCTCCACTACTATCTAAAAACTAATATTTTCAAAAAAGGTTTTGTTTTCATGCAAACATTTTTAGGAATACAAGCGTGCTCACAAGCTCTCAAACTGAAAGATGATTCTGCTAACATTCACAAATGGTATGCAATTTTGATTGGATCTAGAAGTGACTTTGTATCACTGCAGGAAAAAATTAGTGATGGACATATATTCAAGAAACATGTAGATGCAGCTTTAGCATTGTGTCCTACAGATCCTTCTCTACACCATATGCTTGGGAGGTTTGATTTCGAGGTAGCTTCGTTGAAATGGCAAGTTTCAGCTTTTAATTACGTCGAAGCTTCTACTAATTGAATTATCAGTTTCAAAAGTATTACAAAATTGTATCATGAGTGATTACCAATCAACCGGTCACCCTCGGTAACACAACTAGAATTATTTCATCTAATTACATCTAAAAGAGTGATTCGTAATTAAAAAAAAACATTTATTGCCCAAACAGGTACAAGTTACGAACATTAAATTAAGAGAATTCATACTGGCTTGTATAGTATATACAAAGTCAATTTTAATTGACTTTTTCCATGCTGTAGAGTCTCTGGAAATAAACCGATTTGATTTGATTTGAATGGCATAAAAACTAAGTAGTTACCGAACGTCGGCAGTTTCTTTATATGGCATGGGCGGCATGTTATATATACGAGGCCTAATCATTATTTTTATGTGGGAGGTTTTATATGGTATTAACTAGTGAATTTATCAGACCCGGTACATTAGTCGTTTATTTAGCTGTTCGGATTGACTTCGTAAACTATTGTATAGCCAAGTACGTGATACGGTTTTGTAAACTGTCCATTTTCTCACATTAAAGTGTCACTTGTACAATAATTAGGCAATTTTGTTTTAGGTATGAAAGAAAAGTAGCAGCAGCTCTATTTGGTGAACCTCCAAATTCTACAATTCCTGAGGCTTTGGAACATTTCATGGAAGCTGAAAGACTTTCAAATTTTGATTGGAAAGAAAATAAGTTGATGATTGCAAAATGTAAAATAGCTTGTGGCGACTACAAGGAAGGTGTTGATTGGCTACAGAAAGCAAGTAACTGCCGAGAGGGTGTTGCTGCGGTGAGTATTTTTCTTTCTCTTAAGTTTTCAAGAATATGATTCATAATTCTCTCTTTACAGGACGATAAAGTTGATGCCGAGGTGGAGGAACTACTGAAGAAGTATAATAGTTACAGATAGGCATTTTATTTAATGATTCATTGTTTTTTTAATGGTCCCATGTTAGTGTGTTTTTAAAATATACCAAGATCATTTTATTGCTACATTCCAAAGCGTTTTGAAGAGAAAATATATTTACAAAATTTTGAATTGACTGTATGACATGTATAAATGTAAACAATATAAATGTTTTAATGTAGGTAGAGGATTCAAAAGTGTTTCTCATATGAAAGTTGTGATATGTTTTATGTATTCAACTGTTTTATTTATGAGCAATACCAGTATGTATAGTCGTTTATGTTTCTTTCTCCATAAAAGAGAGCCATCGGACACCAACTGGTTTAAGTTATAGATTCAAAATATTTACAATAAAAATTTTATAACAATTGAATACTTTGGATTTTTCTACCAATAATGAATCACATCAGCCGCTGTCCACCATACAGTAACCATGGTTTTCTTGGTGGGATGAAAGGATCGTTTTGGTTGCGCAAGAGCAAAGAAGAACAAGACCTCGAAACGTGATAATTAATATTGTGGGAAACACACTTTTTGAGCTTTTTGACTTCTCCAATACGTTTAAAGTCATTAAAAACCACATTGGAGCTCACGCCTAGTTCTTCCAATATCCCACCCAGCTTTTCGGTTGGTTTCCGGGTTTTGCCGTGGTACTCTTCGATCACCCTACTGAAGATGACTACCGTGGTTGAAACGTTTGGATATTGTAACCAAAGGAGACCACGACAAAACCCGGAAACCAACCAGAACATTGATGCCAACCGTGAAAGCCTATATCCCACCCAACCTTTGTGATAAATCAGTCTCCACCAGGATTCTCAAATACTCGTCCTAAATTACATTGGCAAATGCCTGATTGATTTTCCGGTTTGTTTCGGCAGTGCTTTGATTCAATTTGAATTCGTAGAGGAAAATTGTCCGAAAATCGCTTAACGACATCATGTAGTAATAAGCTAATATGTATAGAATAGGGGAGACCGCGGTTGGTTGGTACATTCATAAAATTTTGGAATCCGTTCGGTAAACACCAGCGTTGCTCGCATCTATCGAAAGATGTTTGAATACGCGCCAGTTGAAGACAGTTATCGTTGATGTGTGGCCGTTTTTTTTACTTTTACTTGGTGCACGTGGTTTTGTCACCCGTAAGTAAATATTTATGAGTTTGAAATATTTGTAATACCTATCAGTTTTTATTTGTAATATCAGTTTTATTGCTTTTTCGATAACAACAGAGTGTATATATTAAGAAAATTTGCACTTTTGTCAATACTTACCTAATATAAAACTTTGATTTATAATGTTATAACATTTAGTTTTGACATTTCTAACGTAAAAAAAATGCTTTGGGGATAGTTGGTACAAACTGTAAGGGGCTGGTTGGTACAGTGTACCAAGCAATCCCGGGGGCTAGCTTTACGTTTTTTTTTGTTTTGCTAATAGCTGGCTTTTTTAGAAAACCTTCATTTAAATGCGTACGTCTGAAAGAAAATCGGAAAGAGGCAAAATACCCCCGGATATTATGCTAAGGGCGGAAGGACAATCTCTAAGATCTGCTGCCAGTGACTTCGAAATTCCATTCAACACATTAAGAAGATATTGCTTCAAGTTTACACTAGAGGAACTACAATCAGAAAGAGAAATGCCTTCAACAGTTGTTGGATACTTTAAAAATAGACAGGTAGGTTTTTTAAAAAATATACTTGATGATCTAGTTTCTAGGAAAATTTTTGGTTTTAGATTTTCACCGAGCTTCAAGAGCCCAATCTCACAGATTACATAAAAAAAGCTGCCGATATTTAGTATAATATGATCTTACGCCCAAAGAAGTGAAAAGATTAGCTTATTTATATGCAACTTCTTTGCACCTGATAAACAAAACAACACTAATCTGAAAATCAAATGTATTTTCTCACTGTCTATCAATACAAAAATTAGAGGGGCTTCAATTTGAAAAGCGTACCAACCAGCCCCGGTCTCCCCTACCTACATCACTTTACACCTGAGACAAAACAATCAAAACAGTGAACCCAAAAGAAAAAACCTCCAAGGAACTTGGATCATACTGAAGAGAGGTTTCAAACTTAATCTTCTGGAAAGTACGGTATTCAATAAACTCAAAAATACACAATATCTCATGAACGATCAAATTTATTTGAATAATTTGCCCCTGCTGCTTAGTATTGTCTCACCAGGAAATTACACCTAGAATAAATCACTAGTAATATCATTAATTGTATTCACCTGTTTTTACTGGAAGTCAGTAAATTATGGATTATTTATCTGTAATCATTTAGCCTTCCTATGTTATAGAAAATCCACAATGGTTATAAATTTTGAAACAATAAAACACTTAATAACTTCTGGAATTTTATTCACAATAATAGATAATGGAATTTATATAAAAATAACAATGAAATCGGGTTATGTGACAAATGAAATGCCATTAAACAATAATTAAATTTATTCAAGGGAGGAACAAATACAACTCAAATTGACAAACGGGTCACCTTTCTTGTACAATTTCAAGCATTTATACTCAAACATAATTTTGATTTTATTTACATACATATAAAAATTGTCAAGTCTTAATCTTTGTTCCTAATCAACATCTATCTGGTACCATGCACCACATGTTATGGTTATTAAGAATGAAACTTTTCTAATCTAATCTAGTTTTTAATATTTTCTTATAGGGTCATTTTTATATGTTTAAAAATTACATAAAAAGCAGAAGTATATCTTCGACACTGATATTTTCTATCTAAAGAACACAAATTATCGATTTATGGATAATGGAACAGAATAACCGGTTAGGCTAAAATGATCAGAAGTTTTGTCTTAAAATTTAATCATTTTCAACACTAATATTATTCACAACTGTATGATCACATATTTATACCTTATCTTATTTTTACAAGAAGTATCACAACTCCCAATTGCATGAAAGAAAACAGTTCAATTTCCACAAATCTTAAAATCTGTACCTGAAACTAGGATTGCGATTCTCTATTATTCTCTAGTATCAAATTTTAAAACTGCTGTTAATGAAAAACACTTTTGCTATTCGATTCATCCTAGTTTCGGGTACTTTCATTCGGAAATTGACAAACCACAGGAAAAAATGCGCCTACGAAACACCTAATATGTAAATTTATTGGACGTCATGATTTCATTTGAAAATTTCACTTGTTTCGGGAAAGAAAACCATTGAAATTAATCGATGTTTTGAGACTTGTTTCATTTAATAAAAATTATTTCCGACACATTTTGAACACTTACGAGTTTGTAGATATATACAGTTTATCATTTGAGGTGTTACGTTAATTAATTTTCAACCCTATACAGAGGTGGTAAGAGAATTCTTAAAATAATTTCGGCGATTTTCTGGTTCTGATTTCAGCGTTGATCTAGAGCGAAAAGTTGTTTAGGATACTCAAAACGAGTTTAGCTCAACATACAAAACAAGATCAATCTGGTCCCTTTCTGCAAATTACTTTTTGATTGCACCCTGTATATTTATTGTTAATATCTATAGCCATGAAACTAGAAAAATAATAGTTGAATATGTAGCTCTTTTTCTGAAGTTTTGTCTTTTAGTCCATTCGGATGAACTATGAATTAATTCGCAAAATTAATTGGGAAATAGGCTAAATTTATATTCACCATTTAACTGTTTTATAACCTTCTTGTACTGATACTTAGTGCTAACTTATATCCACTGGAAAAAAGTAACGACTTACGGTTAATGTCAAATATATCGATCTCTGTATAGGGTATGAAAATTAACCCAACATATCTGTTTGGCATTTACAGAGCAACAGATTTCACATTAACATATCTGTTTTAACAATGTGGCTTCAAGAAAAATTCCATTTAAGAACCTGCTACATATAAAAAATAATAAATTCATTTCTATCTTCGTAAAACCACTTTGCTTATAACATCTATACATTGTTTTAACAAGTTATTATTGAAATAATATATGAAGTGGATTATACAGGTAGTAGGTTCAATGTTCTGTCTACAGCATGCATGGAAACTTGAAAAACATTTCGGGAGGGTAAATTATCAGTTTTTTTATTGAACTCGTGTTTTCAACAGCGGTATTTGGCTTTTTATGTATTACTTTTGTCAATTTTGGCACAGAGAATGACATTTTTATCTAATCAAATTATCCAAGAAGTGGGCGAGACTTTCGACATAATTCATAGCAGGATTTCACTTATAAGGTTCACTAGATAAAATCATTACAAATATCGTGTTTAAATATTTTTCATTTTGAACACTGAGAAACATTGTTTCAACATGAAAAACATACAAAATACTTCACAGTATCTTCTTCTTGCAAAATGACCGTCTTAAAACGTTCTACAACCCCTGACATTTTGGTAAGGTTACCTACGAAGTAGCTGAAACGCCATTAAAGAACTTCGAACATGTTTTCCATGTTTCAACACGTTATTTATAGTGACTTTATGTTCAGAACCCCATATATAAATTCCTGTTACTAATTTATTTTGCTTTTCGGATGGCGGGCTTGGGTTACAATAACGGTCTCCTGAATATAATATTGAAGGTCTTCAACAACCACAAGGTTATAAAATTTCGAAAACACATAGCCAATTTTGAACCATTTCGATTATTACGGCTAAACAGTACGGATACATCGGAATTTCGGATTGCCAATGAAACATCAAGATTTTTTTAATTACAGTAATATATACAAATATGATCACAAAATTGACAGAGCATTTCTGTTAAAACTTCTCATACTTTGTCTCTGTTGTTTCAAGTTGCATTATCACTTCTTCTTCTTCTCTTTTTTATGGTCTTTGCTTCCCATCGGCGCAGTAGACCAGTTTCTTTATTACGATGATGAATCAAGAACTGCATATCTCGAATACACTCACCGGCATAAGTAATGCATTAGACCCAAATTTTATGAAGAATCAGATTTTAAGGAATTGAGAACCTACATATTAATCTCTCATAGGAACGATTATTACAAATAAACAGCAAAAAGGTTAGATCTCAAAAAACTATGTCCACGGTTGTTTCAAAATTTTCAAATGAAGAACTTGAAATCAGTGAATTTTCGACTCATGTCTAATAATATAGTGAAAGTTATCCTGGTGCACGTTTATCTGAAGAAGATCATATGATTATTGTAGCTTTGCACGAACAAGGGTGGACCCAATGGCATATAACGAGAGATCTAGGTTTTATCCAGAGCATAGTTTCTAGGGTAATCTCGAGGTTCACAGCACGTGGTCATGTACACGAAATGCACCAAAGGGGTCGGAGAAGACGGAAAACTTAATGTCAGGATCGATACCTGTTGCAGTATGCACACAGGAAACCCATTGAAAAAGC